GCCATCTAATACCCGATGAGTTCAAAAATCTACCCGTAGCTTCACCTTAAACAGCTGGTCAACAGCCAAACTGTCAGCTTTAAAGTAAAACCTTAATACTAAAGATGTTCCTGCTTTCAACAAACGTGATTTCTAGTTGAAATGCTGACACTGAATATTCACTTATGGACTACGGCTATAATTCAGCGAGCATTCAAGGCATGTGTTTATACGCTTTTGCCAAACCCTGGATTTGATACCATTCTCCTCCTCCAGCTCACAATGTACTCAGAGGGGTGTCGGGCACTTACGCTTCCATATGACATGTGCTATTAGATATGACTCAACTCCGCACTGACTGCTACTAACTCTTCCACTATTAGGCTGTTCATAACAAAAGAGACAAATGAGAAATATGTGATCATTTTACTGGAATTCCATGCTTGCAGGAGGAGTGCCCAAAATAATATTTCAGAAGCAGCAAAGGAGGTCTAAAGACATTTTAAAGATTAAAATACTGTAGCTTTGGAAGTAGCAGATATTACTGCAGCAGTATAGGGGTTATCGGTGCCAGATTAGCATATATAATTAACAAGTGATAAAAGGTTTCAGAAGCTAACAATCAAATCACTGATTTGACATTGAAGATCAAGAGTAAAATTATACGCAACTGGCAGGGTTTCTCAAGCTTCTGTGGAGCAGATTATATTGTCAAGAAATAAGTAAATTATAGAATAACCTGTTATGTAGCACACAGGGGGCGTGTGGCAGGCTGTGCCGAAGAATGCGTGTAGGCAGAACAGTTCAGGCACTTGTGAAACACCAAGCAAGAACCAGCTCAGGTCTGGAAGCAGCATTATCCCCCGTCTCCCTTATCTACAGGGAATTTACTGTACCACAATTCAAAGACCTCTCACATGTAGGAAATCTGCAAGTTAACAGGTGGAAATAAGAAATACGCATGTTACCTTTACCTGGATAACTCGAAACTTTCCATCCTTGAGCCAGCTCTAGAACATGTGTATTAGAACACTGTGTATTAGGTTGTGCTCTGTGAATTTTTTTAATGCTTTTTGTTAACATTTGTCAGTTCAAATTTAAGAAACGCAACACAAGTGGCAGCCAGCTGTAAAAGAGAACCTGACCCGCTAGCGCTGTAAGGTATCAGAGGCGCGCTTTCAGCTGGATGCTGTTCCACGTCACTGCTCAGGCCATCACCCGCACACCACCTCTTCGATGGGAAAAACAAGACAGGATTAAACAGTTTTACCACAATCCTCCTTCCGCTACGTGAAGATGGTCCTGCAACGTATATAAACAACAAGTTCTTTCAAAACTACACTTGCTACCTAAATATTCTGTTAAGAAATGTGTATTTTTTTAACTCAAAGTGAAAATAAATTGGAGAAAATGGCAGAAAAAGATACAGGTATGTTGGAAGTGCAGTGCAAATGTACGTTCCACTGTGATGCCTTCTCAAGAGAAAAGAGGAACCAACACCAAATACAACGGATTTTCGTTTATCTACGTAGCCTCAAATGTGCACCTGAAACACAGAGCACAGAATCCTTAGCAGTTTAATTCTTTGCCGTGTACAATACTGATACTGTAATGCAGATGTCATCAAATATGAAAAGTCAGGACCTGTCCCTCCATCCCCTGTAGAAGGGGTTACATTGGTTTAGGTGAGACCACATTTGGGGGAATTCGAGTTATCTGTTGGGTTTTCACACATTTCTCAGCACAAATTCTCAGCATCATGAACTTTAACTTCTTCTGTTCGAAAAAATGCTTGGCTACCAGGTGGACCTTGTGGGTTTTATCCCTGAGCATTTGCTTTTATGATTTATCAGTCCTTTTAAGTATCAGCCGTCCAATCTTACCGATAAAGTAACGTGCAGTTTATCAGTTACCCGAGTAACCCGCAGGCTGAAAAGCGTTAAGCCAAACTACCTGCAAATTCTTACAGCCCGGGAGCACCGGCTGTTTTGTGGTGAACATCAAATAAGCCACGCTAATGAAGAACAGCTTGACCCATCTTGCTGCAGGAAGACTTCCCTGTAGTGAATTCCCACACTTTTATTTGGCAACCATAATCAGCATTCATGTTGTCTTATGGAAGAAGCGGTCTTGCATACCAACTGTCTGCAGATTACAATCTTGATAGCAGAAAATACCTATTTGTAGTTAAATTCTACTTACCACCCACCCCGTTTTCCTCAGCACCTTAAGGGGAAGAAAATTCCCTATTCCAACTATTTTTTCTTTCTTTCAAGACTGTGATTTATTTAGATTATCTTAATGCCTAGAACTTTAATTTCTGTACTTCAGGGTGGCAAACACTCAACTGTTCAACACCCATAACACTCAGAGTGGAAACAAATAACTTTTGTTATTTCTCCTCTTACTAGAAACCATGCAGTCAATTGCATTTTATGTTGACATACAAACTTTGCAAAGAATACAGCTGGTACTGTTCTAGACAGCTACATAGTAAGTCAACTGTATTCCAGCCCAGGGCCCCAAATTCCCCTATTGCCTCCTGAACTGTTCTTCCCCTCTTTGAGATAACTCGTTAACGTATGCTCTAGAGCGTATGCACAAATAGGCCATTTTTCCTACCCTAGGGCTCTAATAATATCTCTATAGAATAATATATATAACAATATCTAAAATAATATATCTCACTGGGTAGGGGTATTTTTGGAACAACCACGTAACACAGCCGCCTGTTATTCCAGAGAAGTTTTGTGTGACTCGCTAAGTCCTGGGACCAGATTTACTTCATTTATTGTTCCTAGTTCATGATGTGGTTTTGGCACTAGACAGTAGAAAAGCTAACTCCAAAAATCAAAGTTACAGAAAAGTAACTTGCTGAAGGCAATGCACGATGAACTAACCTTTTGTAGCAAAGGAGACAAACAAAAATTTAACCCAAAGCATAAACAAAATAGTAGCCAGCGGTGCAGGGGGGGAGTAAAGTTTAAAGAAGAAACACATGGAAATGACGCAGATTTGTAAAACTAGCAACTCTTTCCTTGGCATTTCAAGATAAAGGTTCGAGAACAAATTCTGCTTCGGGAAAACTACTAATTGCTAGCAAAAGAAAGTTGGAGGCAGTTATACTACTTATCAGAGAAGCATAAGCGGGAATGAGACCTGGCATCAAGAAATTTCATGCTGCATCCAGCCTGTCTCTGAACAGATCTTGCCATGGGGCAAGTCTACTGTACCTCTCTGTTTGTTTTCTGATCAGTAAAATGGGAACAGAGACAACTCATCCCACCTATTTTGGGAAAGATCCTGCAGAAGAAAAGTTGCTTATTACCAGAAACATGTTCCCAAAGGCTTTGTCAACTACAATATGTTATTGCTCAGCGAAACTTTTGACATAAAACAGTAAGAAAGTCCGTCTCATCAATGCTCTAATTCTGTCAGCTTCTCAGCAAAAACGGGAAGGCCACGTGCAGGCATGCCCCTTTTCTCTCTGTCACTGAAGACACCATATTGCAGACTGGCAGGAAAGCTCTAAAACCAGATTTTTCACAAGGCCCTACTTGAAGCAAGAAACCCATCAGCAGAACTATTTTCTAACCCTGCTACAGCTTTCGTCGCTGGGTGACTGTATCTCCTTGATATATGCACCTCCCTTTGTTAAAAACCTGGACTGAAAGTCCACATGCCTGTCTGCTTGCCCTTATCTTCCTAAAAATTTATCTGGGGAATGAATAAGTTTCAACCTTGCCCCCAAAAAAGTACAATTTGCTGCCCCACCTGTTATTTATCTTATTATATCTACTAGCTAGCCATATAATGTATCTAGCAAAGACTCGGTCAGGTTATGTATGAAGACATTTACAGATAATATATCTTCCCATAACGACCACGTGCTGCAACTTTTGAATGCCTGTGATCCTCAGAGGGTGAAGGAATCTAACACAATCTGCCTCTGGACGGCACAAACAAGCAGACTTCTCTTCACAACCTCAAAATGATACAATAAAAAGATTACTTGTCTGTAACTTTGTACAGCAAATAAATGCTTTATAAAGCCCTCACAAGAGAATTATAGCCTCTCCCAATATACACCATCGCAATGGCACAAGAGCTACCAGTGGAGCGGAACGCTGAATAGGAAATGAGAAAAAGGCAGAAAATGGTCCTGTATTTAAAGAATGAGGAATTTGGATGGGGTGACTTTGCAGTCACTGGAGAAAAGGAAAATGGGGCTTTACTGGCAAAACCGCAGACCCCAAAATACCAGAGAGAAGATAAAAGCTGCAGCAGGAGACATTTGTGTGCCATGGCAGGCATCAGTGGCCCTAAATTCATCACAGCATGACCAAACGTCTCTGCTAGGCAGCATCTGATGAGATATAACGTTTGCTAGCAAAAAAAAAAAAACCAAACCCAAACGGGTTTTGAGCATAATTATCATGCACATACAGCCGAGAAACGCCTCTTCTTGAAATTGGTGCTGAAAACAGCCAGGCACTGCAGCACAGGCCACCTTCAGCACCAGTTGCTCACGACAGATAATTTCCCAGCCGTGTGTTATCCTAACGTACGGCTGCACATAAACGCCCATCCCAGCCACCGCAGCACCTCGGCACTGCAGGGGTGCAAGGGGATTTTACCCTGCCCAAACACGCTCCTGCGGGACGACATGAGAAATCCCCACTCCAGCGCACAGGCAAAATGCACGCTGCATTTATCGCGTGCTGCTCGCTGCATTGCTGGCAATCGGAGAAGCTGGCTAGCCCGTAACTGGCAGTTTGGGAATATTTTTGCTCCATTTATCTGGGATGGGGCCACATTTCCTACTCACGCTGTTCAAAACAGCCCAAAACCCCCCGTGTGGAGCCAGTTTAGCACAGGAGAGATGGTGCATCTCCTACAAAGCGATGGGACTCGAGGCAGCTAGCTGTTTGGGCTGACTTTTCGGGGAAGGCGATGGTGAGCGGGGAGCCACGTGGGGCAGCAGGGCAGCAGGCACCCGGAGAGGGTCTGCGGGTACTTACGGACACAGAGACAGGCCACCAGCTTGGCAGCCTCGTTGGGCACCAGGCAGGTGGGGAAGATGGGCTTGAGCAGGTAGGTGGCGAAGACGAGAGCCACGATGTACTGCGAGGAGGGCCGGATGATGAGCAGCTCTATCCAGAGCTTGAGGAAGGCGGGCAGAGGGCCGTACACCTCCAGCATGTAGGCATAGTCCCCGCCAGACTTGGTGATGGTGGTACCCAGCTCAGCATAGCAGAGGGCACCCACGATGGAGAAGGCCCCGCAGACGGCCCACACCACCAGCGACAGCCCCGGCGAGCCGGCCTCCCGCAGCACGCCGATGGGGGTGACGAAGATGCCGGAGCCGATGATGGTGCCCACGATGATGGCCACGCCGTTGAGCAGCGTGATGGAGCGCTGCAGGGTCACCCCTTCGCCCTCGGCGGAGCCGCAGGGCGAGGGCGAGCGGGTGCAGGCGGTCTCCTGCGCCCCGCCGCCCGCCCCCC